TTCACTACGTCTTTTATTTCGGAATGTTTAATTTTTCTTTTTAACAATTACACAAACTGATTTTTAGGAATTATTGTTTGAAAAATCACAACAAAAATCAATGATAAAATATTTTGGTATGTTTTCCATATTGCTTTGAAAAGGAAACTAATTTTAATCCTATTTAATATTCCACAGTCATCAGTTAATTTGACTAGAAATTAAATGAACATGATACATTACGTGCTGAAAATCATTGTGTTTTTTTTTCATATACGAGGCACAGCACAGCAATTACGATACGTACAGAAAAAATGTTTTTGAAACCAACGTGCAAACAGAAAGTTGATTAGATTTTCACTAAAAATGTAATGCACAACATTACATTGTATCCATGAAATGGACAACACACAATAATTTGCAGCAACCCAAATTAAATAGCAAAGCAAATATATTTTTTCAGAAGACGCATTTCAAATTTTAAATTCTTGTTTGAAATACGTAAAAACAACAACTGTTATTATCACATTTACTTTTCTATTCACGGTTATGTCATTATACAAGGATAAAGGCCTCCAACAATACGATATTTGTTTTAGCCACAACACCATTTACCTTTTTTTTCCCTTTTAAGAAATATCCTACATTCGTATTCAAACAAACACGTTACCCTAGATTGATTCCGAAATTATATTGAAATGGTTTTGAATTTCAAAAATAATCTACAAATGACATTAATTTCCTCTTAAAACTTTCTATGGCTTTGCGAAGGCGCCTTGAGAGGCGCGTAAGAGGGGGGGACGAGTGTGCGCTCTATTTAAGCATCGCTGAGTCAAGGCTGCGTTGCTTTGATTCGGTTACGTTTTCGCACATGGCCACGTCGAGCCCCGCCTGAGTTCCCGCAGCCCCCCGCTCTGAAAACACCCTCCGACATCCACATGAGCATCGTGTGTACAGTGCTGAATTCAATCAGGACGCCGCACTGGAGGAAAGCGCACAAATATGCCCATTGTTTGGGGAAATTTTAACACATTAGCTTTCATTGCATTGCTCTTCTTGGCTCTACTGTCAAATGTCCAAAATCCATTAATAACAAAGTTAGTAATAGACAACAAAATCATGTGCATTCATGCTATTACAAATTCCTAATATTTTATTGTCTGAACATTTGTGATATAGCTCATTTCTTATATCCTTCACTTGTCTTTTCCAAGCATACGAACATTCATTCATGTAATAAAATATTTTCATTATTATATAATAACCCAGAGTTCGAGTGACAGTGTATCCTTCCTAAACGGTTCTTTGTTTATTTATTTATTCTTCCCAGGTCTTCTACCAGCATAATTCCTTGGATTTTTTAGAAATACTGTACTTCCACCCTTACACCTTCAACTGTTTCTCTTTTTATTAAATACGTCAGTTTTAGTTATATTATTGCATCTTTTTAGTAACTATTGCGACGCGTCCGAACGGACTGTCACAGTTATAAGAACGATAGCAAAAAGAGGATGAGTGATTTTTGCATAGGTAAAACGAGTTCGTCTTCGACGTTCTGACGAAAAAAGAGATAGATAATAGACAAAGAAGCATCAAGGAGTTCTCGCATTTCTTCAAAAATAATTTTCGCTAGGAAACTAGTTGAGCTACACCAGCATGTACTTTCTCGCTTTACTTCTAATCTTTGCAATTTTCAAAGATTCTGAGAGTTCAACGAAATTGAGACCTACGCCATCTTTTAAAAGTCCTTTGATCTATCCTTATTAAAGATTTAGAGAAAATATTTGGTCCCGTTTTTGACCAAATGTTGTTTTATATATTACAATAACATCAAACTTCACTTAACTTCGTAAAAACTAATACTCGTTCTTTCAAAAACTTGTACATTACCTTTTTAAAACTCGGATATTTTAAAACAGATTTCATCCAAGACAAATTTCTTTCTATCTTCAAAATTGAACTTTTGCAATGTTAATTGCTTGCAATTTTCGAAAATACAGAGTCCAGCAAAAATGGCTCTACCGCCAATTTGTTTTCCGTCCTCTGATACGTACGATATCCATTCAACAAATATGAGATCAGTGCCATTATTGTAATCGTCCTTTACTCTAACCGAAAAAAAAGTTTAATAAAAAAATTAAAGACATTGTAGGAAAAAATTGAAAAAGTCGAGGGTCCATGTAAAATATCCCCCATATTAAAATATACATTTCAAATTCGCAGGGCCTCGAGTTCGGTAAGATCGAATGCGCAATATCAAATTTGGAGAAAATCCTCTCCGTTCAGGTGCTAACGTTGACCGCAGACCTACAGACAGACAGAGGTCAAACAGCAGTTATACAAGACATTTTGCCTTCAATAAATTTTTCGTTATCAAGAACTCACAATATATGGATTCTGACTCCACAAAGTGTTAGAAGAAGTAATTTACTACATGCAGGAACAAGATTTATCCACTTTTTTGTTACCTTGGCCCGACAATAAAATATTTCGTGTCGAAAAATTGCCAATTTCCAACGCACGATTACAGTACTCTCTTCTTACGTAGTAAAGCTTGAAAAGGAAAAAAACCAAACAAATACAGCAAACTTCTTACAGACACACAGAAAAACTTCAATTCCAGCGCTTTACATTCATCTCCACGCAATAAAACATCACCAGAGTACGTAAATGTTATATATTTCAGGGATCGTTGCTTCCAGGATGCGATACAATGAATTTCGAGATCGTGTGCTGTGCGACGCTGGCTGGAACTTCGCGTCACCCGCGCCGCCAGTGCTGCTCCAAACGGCCCCCGAAGTCATCCCTAGTCACGCGCGGCGGAAGGCACTTTGATTATCACCGATATTAAAAGCATTTAAGAGCGCTAGGTGCAATTTTACTACCAACAGATGTCTCTAAAATAAGATATTGCTTCTCTTTTTTTTATACTTTTTCTCCGCCTCCAAACGCTTTGTGTCCCTCTCCCGCGATAATGGCGCAGTGAAGGAGGCAAATGACTTTAAAATTGCCTTCACTCGAATGTCAGGTGGTGTTCGCGCGTCGCCGTGCTGATGGAAGAGACGGAGCTGGAGCCGGTGCGGGCGGCCGGCGCGGAGGGAATCGGGGCTTCGGGGGACGGGAGGCGCCTCCCGCGGGGCCCCGTGGCGAAAGTCCCGGCGGGGGTGGCGAGGCGATCTTCGGTGGGAGGAACAGGATTGAGGCGCGGCTGCTGTAACACCCAACACGACTGTTTCATGATGAAGGAATCGAGATAGGCCTAGGGAATCGGCCAAACGCCACTCTTTATAGAGAGAAGTAAGTATTGAGCATGAACATTTGAGTTTCTGTAGGGGGGAAATGTATGACACTTAGTTTGTTACATGATTCTTTTATTAAAATTACATACTGAATATTAAGTGAAACTGGCACAAGAGTAGAAGCAGTACTCAAGAACATGTGCCAGCCGCTCGTAACACTTTACAGCCAAATAAGTTGAAAATGAAATAAAATAAACAATTTTATATATATATATATATATATATATATATATATATATATAAAACTACATAAACTTAGTGCTGCAGTTTTAGACTAAATCTTAAAAGTTTCATTGCAATTGATGATCTGTATTTCTAGATGACCGTAGTTTATGGTATTGGCTAAAAGATGACGTTATCCATCTTATGAGTGGTTAGTATTAAAAAAAATTTTTTTTCGGGGAACTACGTTCCAGGCTGTACTCATGTCCTGCATGAGCTGTCATATAAGTCTTTTACAAATTTGCTACAATATTTCACCTGTCAAAGACAGTATACATACTAAATAAATAAATTTGTTATATGTATGTTTTTAAAGTATAACAAATATAATATTTACGTATTCTACTCACATACCTCAGGATACTTTTATAGTTTACTTTGATACTACATATTATCTTAAAGGAGAAATATACACCCTGCAAAATATGTTGCCGTACATTGAATATTGATTTTGTAATTTTCATACATTCAGTTTCAGATTTCTTAAGACTCTCCTTTTCGTTGATCCCTTAAGTCCGTCAAGACGAAATAGTTTTGCAAATAGTAAGAGTCGATATTCCGATTAACGGCACATTAGAATTGTCCGTTCCACGATTATCGTAAACTACAAATTAGAATTGTTCGTTCAAAAACTAAGTTGAAAATGGTTGAGACTAGGTTCAGGTCATCATTTCGCTCATTTCACCATGTTCCGCATTTTGTTTTACGTTTTGATTCTGATAAATGCTTTCAAATAAAAGCCAAAACTCACTGAAGTATCTTATCTTTTACCCCCTTTTCATACGAAAAGTAGTTTAAACTTATAAATCAGCACAGAATGCTGTATGCGCCTGCCGAAGGTTGAAAACGTGCTATCAGTAAATTACTTCTAAGATTATCTCTTTCTCGATAGTAAGTATTCCCTCGCTCTGCCGCTATATGCTAGTCATGCTGTGGAGCGCGTACATCTATACTGCCCCTAAAGCAAACAATTTATCATCTAGCCAGGGATACTTATGGGAAGAAATTAAAATACAAGCAACACCCAGCTCGTGCTTGCTATCAATTTCTTGATATTAAATCAATCAGCACATAAAATACGACAATACTTTTCCAAGTGCTCTGAAAATTTCCAGATATATTCAAGAAACGCTCAGCGTCTCATGAATTGAAACTCTTGGGGCAGTAACAAGACAAGCCACTTCAACCATCCTATGGTATTATCTTGTTACTTACTCTATTGTCTTATTCACATTTATGAGGGGCTTGGGGCAGAAACACGACACATGAGACACATACCGTGATATGAACATTTGCGATATTAACATTACGTGTAAATTTTGTTTACTGCAACTGCTGGGACTTCTCTTGGTACTGTCTAGAGACCATCAATGTATAAGCAATTTTCAAGGAATTAGTAATATTGTATTTGATAATTCGATTTGGGGCGTAACATATTACTGTATATCTTGAATGCACAATGACAAACTAACGAATTTTAAAAAAAAGTTCGTTGTGTTACCTGGCGGCCACTAGAACTTGATCCCCATCTGGATCTCGTGCATGAGGTTGGCTGACTTATGCAGAAGGGCCTTCTCCTCGTCGGTGAGCGGCTGTTTGATGATGTGCGTGACGCCGTTCTCTCCCAGCACACAGGGCAGCGACAGGAACACCTCCTTGTCCATGCCATGCTTGCAGCCCTTGATGTAGGTGGACACCGGGAGCACTTGCAGCGTGTTACCCAGGATGGCCTTCACGATGTGTGCAGTCGACAGCCCGATAGCCCACGACGTGTAGCCCTTCAGGTTGATCACCTCGTACGCACTGCAAGAGACAAAACGTTTATCAAAGAAGGGAATAATGAGTTTATCGGCGCGCACAGGTCTGCTGTGGAAATAATGAATCTAGAAAATAATTATTTCTGGATATAATAATAACCAGTTATAGTTATTTGCAAACGTGAAAATATTCCACGATTTCTATCTAGAGGCTTTCCTCTAAGTTCTTTTATTCTTGACATTCCGCGAAATGTAGGAAGTTCGGGAGCTTTTTCTCAAAATTAATTACGTCAAAAATAATTAAAACCTGTATTTAACATGTGGGAGAAAAGGTTAGAAGATAATTTTGCTATTTATTTTGCAGTGGCTTGGCTCTCTTTCAAGAGAAGAACCAGAAATAGAATGAAGCGCACATGGTGGCAACGAGAACTCTTCAAACCGAGATCAACGCCTATGCTATGCTGAATCACCTCACTGCTGCTATTAACTACTTTGTGATTGCAACATAAACTACCGATTTCTTGTTTACTTTTTAAAAATGTTTACGCAAGGTTTTAAGTGCTTATATGGAAATTATTGTAACCAACACTTTCATCTAATTTTCAAAACATGTAAATCTTAAAACAACAAATGCAATGATAACTAACAACACAAGGATAACTAGCAATCTAACAACAAGGACATCAAGTTCGAATAAGTTAACATATTAACGATTTCTGAATAACGGAAATGAAATAAAATAATTAATACTACAATTGATACTTCGTATCAATTGGATTACTTCAAATCCACTAAGGACAACGAAATCAACTGGACACGAGTAAAAAGCACATGCTGATCGCAATATGTCAACAAACATTGCGTTCTGAAGAGCAAAAAAATTGCGCAGGAAGTGCGCAAGCTAAAATTCTGCGTAGTGTCGAGTGTATCATGAAATCGTCGTATGTAAATATCGCACGACATGTGTACCTTCAAGAGAAGGATAAAACGTAGGACAAAATGTAGTGGGAGAAATTCATGATTGAGTAAGAGGGAGAAAAGGAAGATCGAACAGGCCGAAGAACATTTAACGGAATCTTTTTATAAATTAAGAGTTTTAACAAAACGTGAGTGTTCTCTGTCAAAAGACCGCTCAAAATCCTTTCGTTTAATACCATCCATTCATCGTTGTATGGGTTACATGTGTTTAAAAAAACTGATGTTAACAAGAGAAATAGTAAATCGTTCGTGTACAAGAAAAGTGGAAAATCTAAAAAATTGTCACATTTTTACTTAAGTTATGATTTTGTTTATAAAATATTTTATTTTTACTAGTACAAATTTCATAAAGAGAATACTGTAGAAAACTCTTTGACTTCGACCGCGAAATACATGGATCCACTCAAATTAAAACTGAAAATGGCATTTCTTGGGGTATGTGTCTATTTTCTTGTCCATCAATGATATATTTGAATGTTGGTAACATGAAATTCAATAGTACCAAACTGTTTCTTTCATGTTTTCACGAATAAACCTTACAAAATACCATAAAATGGCGCAGGGCCTATTTGGCGGCGAACTTTCTATATTTTCTACTATTGCAAAAAATAACATTGCAAATCCTTATTGATAATAGATATATTTTTCTTAATGAAAAATGTTTAAAAAATTAGATTTTTAAATAAATTCGTGGACGTTTTTTTAAATATGGATTTTTTCACAACAATTTTGCTTAAAATACAGTCAATTTATATTTTTTTTCTCAAAAACGGCTCCAAAGTACTTTATTTTTCTTCGTGAACTGAGCAAAGTATGCTTATACAAATTGCGCAACTTGATTTTCAATGAACACTCGGAATTTTTTTAAATTGCAAAAGTTGCAATTGATGTGAGAAAGTACGAGTCACTATAGCATCACTTGTACCAATACAATACAATTTCAACACTCCTTGCATGTGCCTTGTCGAGAGACAAAGTTAGTAATGATAGCTGCCGAAAATGTCAAGGACGTTTTTTGTTGCCCCGGTGCATTTTTACGATGAATATTGATTGGACAAAATGTATTTGTTTTAACGTAAACACCTGGCGGTGGAGAATCTCGGTGTTCTACAAACAGCCACCCGCTTTGTTCCTTGAGCTCCGTGTGACTCACTTTGACAGAGAATACTACGTATTTTGTTAAAGAAACGAATGTGGAATGCGTAGTGAAGTCGACTTGAAAGATTTCCTACCCAATTAATTTCTGGTACGCATTCCGGGGAAACTTTCTGAGAACGCGTCGCATACGAGAGAGGAGTTCCAATTGTTAATGTAACTCAGTGAATTCTTCAAGAAAGGAAAAAAAAGAACTACGTCTTTGTAGGAGCGGTGCACCAGTGGTCCGAATAGTAGTAAAATCATTGCGTTATTCGGAGGAAAAAATATGTGCATAAAAATAAGTAATGCTATCGATTACAGTGTTTTTATTTTGCATGCATTTTCCCTGTGACATTCCTTTACAGGAATCTGAGAGAAAAAACCATTTCATATTTATTGATTAATATAACATTCAATATTATGCAGTCAATATTAGTTCAAATTCCTACATATAAAACTATACTATTTGCCGATAGTGCCAAAACGTTCATTACTTAGCTCGAATTGGTATTAAAAAAATTGCCCTATTTGCAGAATATTAATGTAAATACTCAATATAAGTGTTGAAAACAGAAGAAACATAATGTAATACATTAAATGAAGGAATAAATAAATGAACGAATAAAATTTCAAAATAATGTTGAATATGTTGAGATATTGACGAAGATTAAGGATTGGTATTTCGTAATCGCCCGTATTCCTAATACTTTTTTGACGAAACGTCTTTGCGTGAGACTTTGCAGATAAGCATTCGTACGACCTCTACAAAAACGTACACTGTAGTCGGTTGCAGACTGGAACAGATTTTGAATTTTAGTTTAAGTAGAGATTTCACGGCCTTGCCTTTGTACAGTGAAATTATATTACATACTTCCTAATAGTCTATCAAATTAATTTCCGCAGCAAGAAAGAAGATTTGGTGATGTATGGTTTGTTTCATTTACGGATGTACTTCCTTATTATTTCGAATATATTACATCAATTTACTTAATTTAAAAGGCTGGTGATGAATTTCAAATGTGTTGATAGTAATTTATTTGCTTATGGGTTAATGTTAAAACATTTAAGTGGTCCGCCCTCACGAATTTTTCTTGATGCAATCGTCTGTTTATAATTTACATGTATTGCATTTTGCTTTTTGACCTGGAATAATATCACAGTTTTTAATACGTTTGGGGGAAGAGAGTCATGATTCTCGCAATCTTTTTGTTTGCATCCACCTCTGGGATCAATCGACGAATCTCGGGGTGGGTTCAAAAATACTTGAAGAGAGAGATATCATTTAATATCAGACACCGCTCCCTCCACGAAAATATTTTTGAAATAAAAAAAATTAAATTAATAACTAGATTTTATTTAAAAGTGTGTATCTATAATGGAAATATAATATCTATAATATATCTGTAATGCTTCCTTTGGAGTATGATACGATTACGAGTTCTTTTATGAGAATTAATTTAGTAAATTAACAAAAAACCGGATTTGGGGGTGGGGGGCAGAACTCCCTTTGCTTACTTGAATCCGCCATTGACCGATTCGTAGGAAGGTGAGGTTACAGAAGGGGTCCAACTAATCCTGGCCCCACTGAGAGCCGGTTTCGGGGGGGTGGGGTGAGAAGAGACAGGTGCCCCGCAGGGCTGGCACCGCTCGTAAAAACTCCACTCTATGCGCCACCTTTAGAGTTCCACGTAATCTCCACGCGTGTCATTTGAAGTCCGTTCCGGAACGTTTTAATTGGGTGAAAAATGATAGAGCGTTATGTATTCCACCTGAAATTAGACCTCGGAAGTTCTCATGCACCTGGCAGAAGTTAACTATCCCGTAGATATTCATCGGCGGCTTTAATAATTGAACCCTCCTTTGCTGCAGCGCAGAAGTAACTATTATTTTTTATTAATACCCGGAATTTTTCAACGTCAAAAGGATCATCTGAACGGCATCCAGTATTCGGTTGGCGAAATGGAGATATAACTCACCGGAGAGCTGGCAGCAATTTTTTTCATTCTTATGCATCGGTTTGGATTATGAATTTCTTCCGCCCTTGCCAGTCTGGTATCTCATTTAGAGTGCAAAAGCCATTTCGACCGCATCGTTTCCCCTCTTAACTCTCAGTTTCATGAATCCGGATTCGCTTCACCGCTTCTCTTTGGTACATTGTTGGTTTAAGTCAGGTTGCGACCTTGCTTAGAAGATTATTAATTACCGCCAACATAAATGAAAATTCGCTCTATCAAATATATTTTTTCTAGAAAACATTAGTAAAATGTCTCACAGCAACACCAAAGATGCAGATTATGAATCTTGAAGATGATGAGTCTCAAATAATTTTATAGACAGATAATACGTGACTAACAACGCATTGTCTGTATATAAAATGTTTTAAGGCTCCTCACCTTCAAGATAAACATTCATTTCATACAGGTTTATGTGCCCTATTTATCAATCAAAGATGCATACTTAAGTACAGTACTGGTTTACAGTTCTCTGTTATTTTTAAAACTTGAGTTGTGATTTCTTTAGTGAAAATGTTATTCAACATATTGCATTGAAAATTTGAGCCTTTTCTCTTCATTTTATTGTATTTTACGTGACATTATTTCGTATTTCATTACAATAAAAAGAAAATCAAATTAAGCAAATATCTTTCACCTCGTAGGGCTCGTCTCCAGTGGACACCCGAATCGTAATACTAACTTAAAGAGTATGTGGGTAGTTAGAGACGTAATGTCATATTTATGACTACTATCGAAGTTAAAACAATTGCCAGGATTTTGCCAAAAATTATGCAAAAACTACTCATAACTACCAACTTTATAAGCGTATTTCACAATATTCTTTCAAGAAATTTAAAGAAAAAAGTTGGATCAATTTTCGAGAGAATTTCCCATAGGTTTTATTTAAAGTACCCTCAAAATTCAATGAATATTTCTC